CCCTGCTGGCACACAGGCCACCCTCCCCGGCACACACCCTGTCCCCCCTGCACATGCCCCTCGTGGTCCCTGCTCTCCCCGGTGTGCTGAGCTCCCTCTTTGCTCACAGTCTCCATCAGCCCAGGACCCTCTGCCCACGCACGGCCCCCCCAGTCCCTCACCCCGCTGTGTGGGCACCATCACCCTGCGGGAGGCAGGGCAGAACACAGCTGGGGGGCTTCCAGTGCCTCAGGGGTCTGTCCTAGGTGGAAGAGGGGCTGCCATGCCCAGGCTCAGCAGGGACCCCCATGTCACACCAGGAGGGGCCCCAGCCTGCTCCCTGCTCAGGAGGTCTGTGTCAGGGGTCTGTGCTGGAGCCACAGCAGGGACTGTAAGGAATCACAGCCCTCACACCCAGACCCGGGCGGAGGCTGTCCTGGGGTCCCCCTTCCCTGGGAGGGGATGGATGCTGAGCTGCAACACGGGGGATTCACAAGTCATTCACAGTCAGTGCTGAAGGCATAGAGGTGCTGCCTGAGGAGAGGCTCCCGGGGCTCAGCACAGGGGATTGAATCTCCCTAACACTGCTGCTGCTTGCAGAGCTCTGAGGTGCCACAGGTCTGCCCTGGTGTTGGTTCATGACTTTGCTGCTCCGAGGATTTGCAGCCCTGGGGCACCGGGCAGCTCTGCCCCCCGTGTCCTGCTCCCTCCCCACACCCCACCTGTGGCTGGGTCTGGGTGGTGGGGGAGCGTGTCCTGCTTGTGGCACATGTTCTCAGGGCTGTGTGGTGCCTGTGCTGCACTGATGGTTGGAGCTGGGGGTGGTCCCTGCGTGCTCACACCCTTCTTGCAGCCTCTCTGTCACCCCCGCTTTGCTCCTGCCCTGATTCTCCCTGCCCTGCCACTGCTGCCCCTGCCCTCCTGCTCCCAGCAGCCCAGGATGCTGGGAAAGCACGACCCCGGGGCCTGGGGGTGCCCTGCTGAGCCGGGGGCTCCCCTCACTGAGCCGGCACTGGCCCTCAGCCCTGAGAGCCGCGGGGGGGTGGCGCGATGCCCCCCTGCCTGGCTGCTGGGGCCCTGCCAGGCCGCTTTGCTGTTCCTGCTGTTATTTTTATCGGATGTCACGGAGTCTATTGCTGGCAGCACGTCCCCCTGTGCTTGGCAGGAGACCTGTGCTTGGCAGGAGACCAGTGGAGAGCTGGGACGGGCTTCCCAGGGCCGGCCCTGCCCACCCCTCCCCTGCTCACTGTGTCCCTGGGCTGGCTCTGACTTCAGCTCTGCTCTGCCTGTTACTGCTTCCCATGGGAGCTGGCGCTGCTGTGACACAGCCCCCTGTCCCCAGGGCTCTGCCAGCCTGCAGGGCTGCAGGGCACGGCCTCTCTGGATGCTGGGCTGCTGCTGGACATGGTTCCACCAGCCCAGAAGTTTCTGCCCTCGGGCTGGGCTCTTCCTGCTGCAGCAGGTGCCCAGCTCCAGCCAGGGGGGTGTGAGCACCCCTGCTCTCCTCAGAGCTTCCACAAGGATCTCCATGCACAGTCAGGCTCAGCCCCACTGCTGGCTGTGATGGTCCATGCAGCTTCCCAGCCCTGTGCCAGGTCTATCCCAACCTCCAGCCCTGCCTTCTCTCGCTGCTCCCAGAGACCCCAGTGCTGCCAGCTGGGGCCAGGCCAGGGAGCTGCTGGCAGTTGGCTGTGCCCGCTGTGTGCAGCCACACTTGCTGGCTGAGCTGCCGTCCGAGGGCTCTGGGGTCAGGCAGGGCTTTGCCTCCTGCATCCTGGGCCCTGGGCCAGGCTGCCAGCAGGGCCTGGGCACAGTGGGCAGTAGCACGTGCCTGCAGCCGTGACCCTCCTGTCCCTCTGCCTGTGGAGAGCAGTCCCCTGCTCCTGCCATGGCAATGCCATGGGCACAGAGATGGTGCCCTGCTCAGGTTTGGGCCCCATTCAGAGTCCTCTGGTCACAAGAACCTCAGCCTGGGGGGCTGCTAGGCACTCTGGGCACCAGGTTTGGCTGGGATGAAAGCTCCAGCCATGCACAGGAGCTGTGGCTGGGCTGTGCTGATGGCACCCTGGGCAGGCACTGTGGCCAAAGCCATTGCAGGGGGCTGGATCTGGCTGCATCCCCAGGCCTGGGAAGGGATGCACGGACAGGTCTGTCCCTCCTGGCACAGCCTCATCACTTCTGGGCACTGTACCCTGAGTCTTTGGCACTGGATGAGTAAGAGGTGCCTGCTGTGTTCTCCGTGAGTGCTGTGCCCTGCACCCAGCTCCTGGGACTGCAGCTCCTGGGAGTGCTGCTGCCAGCAGCCAGGGCTCTGTGCCTGGAGTCCAGCACTCGCCTCCACCCCCTGCCCGGTGCCGCTGTGCCCGTGAGCTGATGGGGGGTTGTGGGGTCTCTCAAGGCTGGGGACAGACCCTCAGATGCTGGGGCAGGAGATGGAACCTGTGAAGCAGCAGGTGGTGCTGCTGGGAGTGCAGCAGCTCTGTGGGGCAGCAGAGCCTGGGCTGGCCCTGCCAGTGAGCTTCGGGGACCATGTGGCATGGTGTGGGGACAGGGAGCTGGGCCCTTTTCCACTGAGGAAGTCCCTAGGGTACAGCTGGTACCGAGCTGGTCATGGCTGGGGCTGTCAGACAGGGGCTGCTGGGGCTGGCACCTGTCAGGCTGAGGGCTTGCTGGGCTCAGGGCTTCCAAGGACGGAGCAGAGAGGCAGTGGGGCTGGAGACCTGCCAGGGAACCGTCCCAGGGGGAGTGGGGAGAGGGAGCAGGAGCCGCCAGGGCCGGGGGAGCAGCTGGAGGGGGCAGCACTGGGCCAGCCGAGTTGCGTCGATGGGGTCAGGGGTGTAGGATGGAGCAGGAGCTGCCAGAGACCCAGCCGGGCAGCACCCCACCAGGGACACTGATCTAGAAACAGGGCCAGGAGCTGTGCCAGCAGCCAGCTGTGGCAAGGGGCTGGGACAGCCTGGGCAGTGGGGAGCTCGTTTGGCCCATCCCAGCTGCTGGAGCTGCTCTCTGTGGAGGGGATCACAGTCAGCAGAGCCTGCCCGGTGTCCAGGGAGAGCTTTTGGGGTGCTGTGGGAAAGGCTGCGGTGGAGATCACGGGCAGCAGCTGGACAGGCTCTGCTCTGAGAGCCCCAGGCACTGTGGACCCTGGGTGAGGGTCAGCCCCAGTCCGGGTCACAGGGTCGAGGTGCAGCTGGACACCGTTTTCACCAGAGATGCTGCGGTGTCCTGGGAGGCCCGAGGCACTTGGCAGAGTGGGACGCCTGTGCCCTGGGGTTTGGTGCAGGCAGTGGGGAGCTGCAGCTGGGACAGCTGGCAGGGCTGGAGCAGGCTCAGGCATCCTGGGGCAGGGGGCCCAGCTGTGGGCAGGCCACACAGGGGTCTCACCTGCCTGAGTGGGCTGTGCTGGTTGCAGGGGCCCTCATGGGAGCTGGGGATGTGATTGCGCAGCAGCTGGTGGAGCAGCGGGGGCTGCATGGGCACCAGTGCCCCCGCACCCTGAGAATGATGGCCATTGGCTTCTGCTTTGTGGTGAGTGGCAGAGGGGTGGGGTGGGATGGGATGGAGTGGGAGGCTCCTTCAGCCTGGTGGGACCATGGTGGTGCAGTGGGAGTTGGGCCATCCTGGTGCCACCTCCAGCAGCCATGGGCAGGGCCAGTTCCATGGAGCAGGAGCAGCATAGGACAAGTTGGTCTTTGTGGTCCAGAGCTGGAGCAGGGTAACCATGTAACCAGCTTGGATCCCCCCAGCCCTGGCCCCGGTGACCAGTGAGGGCAGATGCTGCTCCTCACCCCCTGGCTCCTGCAGGGCCCTGTTGTGGGCAGCTGGTACAGGATCCTGGATTGGCTCATCCCAGGGAACACAAAAGTTGTGGCTGTGAAGAAGGTGATCCTAGACCAGGTTGGTGTGACAATAGTGAGGGTGTTGCTTGGGACTGGGGCAGTGGGATGGAGCAGTGGGGACAGCCGTGTCCCTCTGGCAGGTTTGCAGCCTGCTCTGAGAGCCCAGTGCCTGAGCTGGGCCCAGCCTCACTTCAGTGGAGGGCTGGAGGGGGGCATTTTCACAGAGGCTGCCCATGGCCAGCCTGGCTTCAAGCACCACAAGCTTCTCAGCACGGGCCGTGGCTCCTCTCTCGCAGGGGGCTTTCGCGCCGTGCTTCCTCGGCTGCTTCCTGGCTGCCACAGGGGCCGTGAACGGGCTGTCGGTGCAGGATAACTGGTCCAAGATCCAGCAGGTATGTGCTGCTGCCCTGGGCAGCCCTGAGGGGCCCTGGCAGCTCCTCCCTGTGTGCTGGCCCTGACGGCTGCTCCTGTTTGTGTCCGTGCCCATGGCCGGGCACTGGGTCCCAGGGCCCTGGGCGTGTTGGGTGCCCAGTGCTGCCAGTCCAAGTACTGGTGCCAGGCCTGGTTCCTCTGGCGTGGGTGTCCTGTGGGTGAGTACTGGGGTCCCACCTGAGCCAGACACGGGTGCCATGGGCATTCTGTCCAGCCCCGCTCCTGGCTGGGTCTCCAGAGCAATTACCGAGATGACTCCCATTAACAGTAATTGCTGGAAACCGGTGTGAGCACTGAGTCAGCGTGTCCAGAGTGAGTCACTGGGGAGTGGGTGCCCACCTGCCACAGGAGGAGGCACGCTGGGGTGGTCGTGTGGCTGCCAGGAGTGGCAACACCAGCCTCGCTCACTGATGCTGCCGGAGCTGCGTGTGAACGGCCCCAGCCTGGCTGGAGCTCTGCCTGAGTGCCACCACCCAGGGTTTGTTCCTCTGCATGGCACCCAGTCACCAGCCTGCTACACTCTGGGCTGCCAGTACATGCCCCTCATTCTGCCCCAGAGTGCAGGAAGCAGATCCCAGGGCAGGATCCCATCACCTCTGCTTTCGTCAGACTCTATGCAAGTCACGGACGGGGTATGGAGTGCTCCGAGGCACCTTAAGGACACGCATGAACAGATCGTGGGCACAGGCAGCACTCTGAGCACTCCAATCCATCTTCCCCTGCTGCATCCTGACCAGCTCGTGCCATGGATCCTGCCTTGCCTTCCCCAGGGAATCCTGCCCTGCTTGGTGATTCGTGCGAGCTGTGGCTCCTGGCGAGCCCTGACCTGTGAGGGGGTGATGGGCTGGGGGCTGGGCAGCAGCTCTGGCAGCACCTTCACCCCTGGCTTGGGGTGCATCCGCCTCTCCCCACGCAGAGGAAGCGTCAGCAGAGCATCCATCACCCCGCACCTGCTCAGCCCGTCCTGGGCTGCTGGCCAGCGGCAGGAGGAGCCCGGCCTCCTGGCTGAGTCACGGCCAAGCTGGATGAGGGACTTGTCCTGCTGCCATGGGACAGGGATGTGACACGGCCGTGGCTGTGGCAGGAGGACAAGGCAGCACCTTGGAGTCCCACACCAGTTGCCCCAGCTCAGTGCCTTTCTCCATTTCTGCTGCATGGTGCCCAGGAGGGGGCTGGGGGGGCACTGAGCTGGAGAGGGGCTCACAGCCCACCCTGGGGAGAGAAGCCATCTGCCCATGTGCCCTGGCTGTGGCACAAAGGGCTCTCGGGGGGGATGGTTCTGGTCACCCTCTCCCTGCCACCCTCAGGCAGGGAAGGCATGGGCAGGGCTGCAGGGGCTCCGTGCCCCGCAGTGTGGAGTTGGGGGGACCAGTGGCAAGGATGGGGGCCCTCTGAGTGCTCACACCTCCTTTTTCTTGCAGGACTACGTGGATGCCCTGATGACCAATTACTGTGTGAGTGCTGGCAGATCTCTGTCCCTGCCCGTCTCCTCCATGGGGCTGCCATGGGCTCTGTGGGACAGCCTGAGTGCCAGGCAGGGGTGGGTGTGGGGCAGGGACCCTGGCAGGGCTCCTCACTGCTCCTCCCTTTCTCTGCCCAGATCTGGCCACCCGTCCAAGTTGCAAACTTCTACTTTGTGCCTCTGCAGCACAGGTAACGTTGCGGCCCTGGCGCCCAGTCCCTGCCCCGTGAGGTGGCAGCTGCAGACCCTGTCCCCTCTGTCCCCAGGCTGGCTGTTGTCCAATGTGTTGCCATCGTCTGGAACTGCTACCTGTCCTGGAAAACGAATCGGATGTGAGGCAGAAGCCGTGTCCCATCCCTGTCCCCAGCCTGTGCCCTGCCTGACCCCACCGCAGCTCAGAGCCCTTGGAGTGGGCGCGTGTGGCCGTGGCAGGTGGGACACGCGGGGTCCTGGCAGCAGCCATCCTGCTCTTCTCAGGGGAGCACCATCCCCTGTGGCCTCAGCCCCCACTGCCCCAGGGAGAAGATGGTGCCAGGACAGGCCTGGATCTGCTCTTGCCGTGCTGTGCAGCAGCTCTGCCCACAATGTGCTTCTCCACCTGTGCTCAGCCATTTCTGAGCCCTTGCCTGCACACAGGGTGCTCCTGCCCCGAGCGTCACTCTGACCTTCCCATGGCACATCCTGAGGGAAGAGAGGAGGGGAAGTGGAGAAGAGGAGCAGAAATGGCCCTGAGCTGGCTGTGCCATGGGCACAGAACTGGGGTCACTGCAGGCTGGGGATGCTCCCCCTGAAAACGGGGTTTGCTGTGGCTCTGCTGTGGACAGTCAATAAACGGTGGTCTTCGCTTCTGATTCCCGTGGCCCGGGGGCTTGTGGCCCAGTGTGCCCCCCAGACCCTGAAGATGCAGTCCCAGAGCGACTGTTCTGTTACGGATCAACAGGTCCACCCTGCCTCATCTCAAGGCACCGAGCATAGGGCGATGGACTGCAGGCAGCTGGGGTGGTCTGCCCCACTGGCTAGAGAAGGACTCTGACAGAGGGTGGATGGTGGTTTAGGGGATCATCCTGCTGCAGCTGTTCCATGGGCTGTGATGGTGCCTCCACAGCTGCAGAGCAGTGAAATGAGGTCGATGGTGCCAGAGTCCTGATGCTGGCTGTAGAGTCCCCCAGGGGCAGGGCGTGTCTGATGCAGGGCTGTGCATCTGGGGAGGGTGCCATGTCCTAAACAAGCCTGCCTGTCGTGCCAGAGAGAAGCCCCACGGAGCTGTCACTGCCAGCACTGCTGCCCCTGGGCAGGTGTGTCCACACTGACACCACAATGGCAGCGAGCAGACACAATCCAGCTCCCACAGTGTCCCTGCCCAGCACATCTCAACCAGGGGCTCCAAGTGGAGCTAATGGGACTATGGTGGTTCATCTCACCTCTGTGGAGCCCTGAGCCCTGGCCCCCCTCACCTGTGCTACTGCAGCCCCACACAGCTGGACAGAGCCATCCCCATGCTGCTGGCACCACCTGGGCTCTGCCAGCGTGGCCTTCATGGAGGGGATTCACTGTTGTCCTCCACCCTCATCCTCCCCACGGTCTGCTTCTGTGCTGAGTACCTGGGGGGCCTCGGGTTCTGTGCGGGGCTCAAACTCTCTACAGCCAGTGGGGTGGGTGCTGAAGGTGGCAGCAATTTGCAGCTCTGAGGTGTAGAGCCTCTCGCAGCTCCCTCTGGGGGTGCAGGAGGCTCTCGCTGTCAGCAACGAGTGAGCTGCGAGCATGGCAAGAGCCACGTGAAATGAGCCACTTGTCCCCAGGAGCAGCCGCCCCAGCGTGGGGCTGCCAGGGCTCGGGGGGCTGAGTCCAGCCCCTGCCGAGGGCTCTGCCCTGCCGCTGCGGGAAGCGGTGCCTGGTGCCAGCCTTCATGCCAGATCACGTCATGGGGGCACGACACCGTGTGCTGCTCTCTGCCACCCCTGTGCCACCTGGGGTGGGACACACCGTGCAGGGGGCCAGCCTGAGCCTCTGAGCCCGCCTCTGCCCCACACTGGCACCTGCACCAGCGCTGGGTGTCAGCTCAGCTACACTGCTGTTAGCTCGGGGGGCTGCCAGCAGTGTGGAGCACTCGGGGGGCTGCCAGCAGTGTGGAGCACTCGGGGGGCTGCCAGCAGTGTGGAGCACTCGGGGGGCTGCCAGCAGTAGTGTGAAGCCCCAGCAGCCACCTCACCATTTGGCAGCGGTGCCGGTGCCCCGACGGAACACCCTGCATCCAGCACGGCGCTGCCGGCTCCGGTGCCTTCATTCTA